TTAGCTGGAGATATAATTAGTTAGTCCATATCACTAATAGATCTCAGAAATTTGGTATATTACATTCCACACTTTATTATTTATATTAGTATTTATATTTAGTTATTTATAATATATTTATTATTTCTTTGATATGACATTGATGTTATTATCTCAATTTTAAGGTGATGAAAGATAGTAACTTTGCCTAAGAACACACAACCAGTAAGTAGTTTGGAAATAGGATTTGAGATAAGTTTTGAAATAAATTTTCTTTTAAAAATAAGATTTGAAGAAAGTTTTGAAATAAGATTTCTTTTGTTGGAAACTTTTGCTCTTTCACTTTGCTAATTTTAAAGCATCATTATCATGGAGAGAAAGGAAATAAACCACCAGTTTATTAATTTCAGAATATCAGAGAATTAGTTAAGTTTGCAAGAAAGTTTTAAGATGAATCAAGGATACCCTATTTCTTTGTGAAGAGTGTATTGATAGAAAGGCTTAAGATAGAAATTGGATTAAAAAGAGTTTATTATAGATGATAGAAATATTATACCTTCACTTTATTTGAGTCCATATGGAGGCCTTCCTTGACCACCCTATCTCAAAATAGCTCAGACCTACCATCACCAGGTAACTCCTTATCCTCATTTTTATTCCTTAGTGCTTATTATCACCTGACGTTATACGGTATGTATACATGTGTATGTGTGTACTATAATCTCCATGAGTCTTTGTGTACAGCTGTATCCCAATTCCTTGGCACATAGGAGTTCTTACTTAATGAAAAGGAGAAGAAAGAAAAAAAGAAAGTAGGTAAGTAGGTTCTTATGGTAAAGTTAAAGAAATTCAGAATTCCTATTAGTGATACCATATTGAATATTTATATTTTTATGATTATACTAGTGTTGCAGGAGAGCTGAATAAATGACCAATGCCTTGCAGTCACCCTTTGTTTTTAATATAATTTAGATTGATGATCCCATGGCTGTATCCTGTGTTATTTGTCTCTCACATACCATTTGTCTCTTCATCCCCTATTGTTAACAGCAATGATATTGCTGATATTATGTTAAAACATTTTATACTTAAGTTTTGTCAAATATAAGCTTTGTGCTGGACCTTTGAATTTGGAACCAGTAGTTCCACGTATTTTAGTATTTTAGGTATTTGTCTTGGAGATGGTATAAAATAAGTAGTTGACAAAGCTTTTCATACCTTGCTGGGTGAAATGGAGATAGAATTCCTTGAAGTCTTAGGGATAGCTTATTTTTGTGAATGAGAACCAAGGCTGCTCTTTAGTTCTTTATCTTCTTACAGATCTAACAGTTGAGAGGCGTTGGTGGCGTGGAGAGGAGTAGGACTTCTCATTTTCTTGCTTTGGGTTAGTTCCTTTGGAGCTTCAGTGTACTATCTTGGGAAACAAGATAATATCAATTCTAATATAAGTAGATATGTATGCTCCAGGAGTAGTTTATAGTTGGGAATAGAAGCTTCTTCTTGGAATTTAGGGCTTTGAACTATTGAAGATGATGAAGACATTTTCTTTTCTGGAGTTTGTCAAGAATATGAACATCTACCTGTTATCATGGTTCAGGCTCCACTGGGGTGTTTGGAGCAGGGATGGAGAAGAAGTGACTTCCACAGTCTACTCTGTGCCTTCCTCATTAGATTCTCTCTGATACCAGGAAGGAGAGACAGAAAAATTTTCTGTTGCTTAATAGTTTTTAACCTAAGTGACTTCTATCATTTAGTTGTGAGAAGTGGTTGTTTGCTTTATAGTGTTTTCTTTTTTTGGATAGTCCTCATAGAACTTTACTGTATATAAGGCATAACCAATATCTAATCTGTTGTTAGTTCCTTGTCCTCGAAACAACAGTTGGGATAGCTCTAGTGGTATATTTTTGTAAAAAGAGTGGGAAGTAGGGGTTAAAAATATCAAAGGAGCTCGAAGTATGATGGAAGTTGATATCTGAAATTGCTTCATTTCGTCCTTAAGTTCAAAATTACCCCCAAAGTATCTGGCTTTACATTTGTAAATGCCCTTGTGAGGATTTTGGTTAGCTATCATTCAGGAGTAGAGATCACTTAGACCTCATTAACAGACAGTATTCCTTTTGAAAATGACATGGTATCTACTGTAATCCTAGAGTGTTTTAATAGTCTATTCTATGCTCAGCAATGAAACATTTCAAAAGTGACTGACAGCCAACTGATGTAATTCATGGTGATCTTTTGTGTTGACAGATCTTTAAAAAGTCATGGGAAATTACTACTGTACCCAGTGAAGCCGCCTCCTTTTTTTTTTTTTTAAACTGCCAATATCCTGCAAAACAGGACAATTTTCTCTTTGACTGCCACTATTTTTTATTTCTATAACATGACACGATTCCTCCTTATTATTAGGATTTCTTTTGATAGATAGAATGTGTTCCCTATGGGTAATGCTGATTTTAAAATAGAATTTCTTCAGTTCTCCAAATTAACTCTCTTACTTTTCTGACTTCCACATCAAGACAACCTTGCCAGTAGTCACCTTCCCACTCAGGAAGAAGAGTGATTTAATTTAGACAATTTAAATTTTAGTCCTCTGAGGGAGAAACATGTTGAAAGGAAGAGAATGATGGATTGCTTATTTTGGTGGGTGTTTTTTCCTAGAGCACTCTCAAGTTAAAAGGCTAATGTTTGGGGTAAATTTATAGGAGATAGTATCTGTGTCCAAAACTCTGGGTCTCCAAATTCAAAATGTAGAATGAATGGAAAGAGCCTAGTGATGAATATGAACTTATATGATGAGTTTGGGGAATAGTACAGAGATCCAGTCCCAGCGTTGCCCTGACTTTTTCATGTTTGTTGGAACTGCATCTCTGGGTCTTTGCCATTTGTCATCATGTTTCAAAAGTAGATGTTTTCTTCAGCTCTTCTGGCTGAACCTTAGGCGAGGAGAGGTACCTTTTTCCTTAGTCCAATCTATTACTCAAGAATTGTCATCTGAGTTGACATGCATTTTTTGAGAATAAATTGTGTGCATTAGCCTTGTGCTGGGTGCTGTTGAAGAGGTAAGAATGAACTTACTGATTATAGTCCTATTAGTATTTTTGTTTAATATTCCACAGTATAATACAGTGACTTCTATTGAAGTATAATTCCAACTTTTAAATATTATTTTGAAATATCATTTGATTGTAAAAATGTGTAGTACCTTTCTTCATCTTTAGTTCCAGTTTCCCCTTAGTATCATCTACCCACTCTCCCCCGCTCACTGTCTCGCTAGACTAAAAGAAGACCTAAGTTCTTCCACAGCCTTATACACCAGAACTTTGCCTACCTGCCACAGCCCCACTACCAGATGTATTCTTATGACAATGAAAAGTTAAAGAGGTAGAAAAGAGAGACCAAAAAAAGGTTTTATTCCATCTTCTTTTTATTTCTTTTAGGCTCTGAGGAATATGAATAGTTTTCATAGTTGAAAAAAGTACCACTCCTTTTTTAATTTAGTTTTTTACATGGGCTAGAATCAAAGCATGGAGAAGTTTAGTTGATGGAAGACCCAGAATCTGATGTTTCAGCCTAACATCCATAAACATGCAGCAGACCAGGGCTGCCATCTTTTTTTTTTTTTTTTTATAATTTTATTTATTTATTTTTCCCCCAACGCCCCAGTAGATAGTTGTACGTCATAGCTGCACATCCTTCTAGTTGTTGTATGTGGGACGCGGCCTCAGCATGGCCGGAAAAGCGGTGCGTCGGAGTGCATGCACTTAACCGCTAAGCCACGGGGCCGGCCCTAGGGCTGCCATCTTATGCTTATGCTAAAAGGCACTGTCAGAAGTCATTTAGATGAGTCCGTAATTTGAAGGTAGATGATTTGGATTTGAGTCCTAGTTCCATTTAGGTTATGTGATCTAGAGAAAATCATTTCATTTTTGTTTCTGGTATAGTAAAATGGAAGTAATAATTATGCCCACTTAATTTACTTCTTCAGGTTGCTGGGAAGACAATATAAAAAAATGAATTGTGAAGTGCTTAGAAACTTTAATTCTATACAGACGATAATAGTTATTCTTCCTTATCCTCCTCTCAAAGTAATTTATAGATGACTTTTTATCTTACCAGTACTCTCTTCTTTAAGGATCTGTTCTGTGGGCTGGCCTGGTGGCGCAGCGGTTAAGTGAGTGCGCTCTGCTGTGGCAGCCCGGGATTCGGATCCTGGGTGCGCACCGATGTACCGCTTGTCAAGTCATGCTGTGGCCATGTCCCATATAAAGTAGAGGAAGATGGGCACGGATGTCAGCCCAGGGCTGATTTTCCTCAGCAAAAGGAGGAGGACTGGCATTGGATGTTAGCTCAGGGCTGATCTTCGTCACAAAAAAAAAAAGGATCTCTTCTGTAAGAAAAGGGAAATAGTATTAACAAAAGAATATTTAATCCTTACAGTAACCCTGAGGTTTAGAAATTATTGTTAACATTTTACAGATAAAGAAACAGGCTTAGAGAGGTAAAGAAACTTGCTCGAGATCAAGTTTATCCCTTAGTTTCTCTGACTTCAGTGCCCATGTTTTTTTTCCCCATAAACTAATGTAGTTTGTTAATATACTGCAATCTGTTCCAACAGCTCTCTCTTCATCATGGCTAATTTTGAAACATTTTTTTGCCATTTCAATCATTCTTGTTCTTTTATTGGGAGTTCATTTATTTCATTCATTTGGCAACTTTTTATTGCCAGGCACTATGCTAAACACCAGCTGTTTTTGATTTTAGTCTAGTCTTTTTTAAACAGAAGAAAACGTGTTTAAAATAGAGTGACAAGTGCCCCTACAGTATGGGGAAATACAAGATGCTTTGGGAAGTCTTCATAGAGGAAGTAATACCTAAGCCCATGCTTTAACATACCCTTTATAGAATACGGATGGCCTTTGCCACCCTGACTTTTGTTTTTCTTGTACCAACAGATTCATACTGAGCCATTTATCCTAGGGTGAATAGTCAAATGACTTTTACATGTGCTTATTATTTTCTAGCTTGTCCAGATTATTATCAATACAACACACTTGGAGAAATCCTGTAAGTACTTGGAAGAATTCATCACCAATATCACTAATGTGCTTCCAGAGACAGTCCACACCACCAAGCTCTATGGCACCACAACTTTTAAGGTGAGAAGGCGCTACAGTACTGTAGAACTGCTTCTGGTGTGCATGGTCTGGGGCATTCTACCTAACATCGCTTTAATTCTTCCAGGATGCATAGTAGTATGATTCACAACATGCTCTTGAGAATAAGTGCTATGATTTCCTTAGAAAAACAAATACCAATGCTAATTTGTGGGTATTTAAACTAAAAAAAGTCTACAATCTTCCTTATATTTTGTACATGAAAATGGCTGTTTCCTCAGTTGGCCTCCAGGACAGTCAAGAGTTCTTAAGTATGGTCTGGATAATAGTGGGTATGGCTGAAATCAACATCAATTAAAAATTTTTAATTAGCTTTCTGTGTCCGTTGTCCAATTTTTTTTAATCTTACTTTTTAGTGAGGAATTTCTGTCCCTTGTGTAGCTTGCAATTTTATGATCATTTCACAAGGCCACAGCACTAGTTTTGATGCTGTGTTGGATCAAATGGGAAAAATGACACTCATAGAGCAAAAGAAGGATTGATGGTAGATGAGTTTCTAGAGAGTAAATGCCTTAATTTAAAAGAGTCATAAGAATTCGTTTATATTGCCATATGAGCTTTAAATAAGTTTTAAGCAGAAAAAGTAACAGAGCAACATTTTAAACACTAAAATGATAGGTTCTGACATAAGGCCAACATTTATGTTTTAAGTTTTTGTTATTGTTGTTATTCTTTGATTATTTTAGTTTTGAAACAAATTTATATCAATCTTTTGAAATCCAGAAGTTGATATTAATTAGATGTAAAGTTGTAGAGCTGAAATCATGATTTATGTTTATTGGTGTCTACTTTTTCCTGTCTTTTTTCCTCTTTCCCTATTATTGGTACCTTCCCTTGAGAATGGATGTAAGAGAAGAAAAACAATTATTTGTATGATCTGCTCCTTTCCTGTTATAAGAAAAAAAATGAGAAAGAGCCCAAATTGCCAAAGCAATCTTGAGAAAGAGTAACAAAGCTGGAGGCATCACGCTTCCTGATTTCAAATTATATTACAGAGCTATAGTAATCAAAACAGTATGGGAGGGACCAACCCAGTGGCATTGTGGTTTAAGTTCACGCTCTCCTCTTCAGCAGCCCAGGATTCACAGGTTCAGATCCCAGGTGCAGACCTACACACTGCTCATGAAGCCATGCTGTGGCAGCATCCCACATACAAAAAATAGAGGAAGATTGGCATAGATGTTAGCTCAGGGCCAATCTTCTTCACCAAAAAAAAAAAAAAAATCCAGTATGATATTGACGTAAAAATAGACACATAGATCAGTGAAACAGAATAGAGAGCCTAGAAATAAACCCATGCATATATGGTCAATTAATTTACAACAAAGGAGCCACAAATATGCAATGGGGAAAGGACAGTCTTTTCCATAAATGTTGCTGGGAAAACTGGACAGCCACATGGAAAAGAATGAAACTGTATCCTTATCTTACACCATATACAAAAATCAACTCAAAATGGATTAAAGATTTTAATGTAAGACTAAAACCATAAAATTCATAGAAGAAAACATTGGGGATCAGTCCTTGACATCAGTCTTGACAGTGTTTTTTTTGGCTTTGACTTCAAAAACAAAGACAACAGAAGCAAAAATAAACGATTAATCTAGAAATCTATTAATCTAGAAAGCTTCTGCACAGCAAAGGAAACCAACAAAATGAAAAGCAACTGATGGAATGGAAGAAAAAATTTGCAAATCTTGTATCTGATAAGAGGTTAATATCCAAAATGTATAAAGAACTCATACAACTCAATAGCAAAAAAACCAAACAATTTGATTGAAAAATGGGCAGAGGAACTGAATAAACATCTTTCCAAAGAAGACCTACAAATGGCCAATAGGTAAATGAGATGTTCAATATCACCAGTCATCAAGGGAATGTAAATCAAAACCACAATGAGATATCACCTCACATCTGTTAGAATGGCTATCGTCAGAAAACAAGAGATAACAAATGCTGGCAAGGATGTGGAGAAAAGAGAACCCGTGTACATTGTTGGTGGGAATATAACCTGGTTCAGCCACTATGGGAAACAGTCTGGAGATTTCTCAGGAAATTAAAAATAGAACTATCATATGATCCTGCTATTCTACTTCTGAGTATTTATCCAAAGAACACGAAAATACTAATTTGAAAAGATAAATATAGCCCTATGTTCATTGCAGCATTATTCGCAATAGTCAAGGCTTGGAAACAGCCTAAATGCCCACCAACAGATGAAGGAGAAAGAAGATATGGTATATATACATAATGTGTATATATACACATTCATATTCAGCCATGAAAAATAAGGAAATCCTGCCATTTGTGACAATATGGATGGTCCTTTAGGGCATTATGCTAAGTAAAATAAGCCAGACAGAGAAGAACAAATGCTGCATGGTATCAGTTGTATGTGGGATTTTAGAAAAAAACTCAAACTCATAGAAACAGAGAGTGGAAAAATGGTTTCCAGGGACTGGGGAAAATAAAGAGAAGTTGGTAAAAGGGTGCAAACTTTGAGCTACAAGATTAATAAGGTCTGAGGATCTAATGTAAAACATGGTGACTATAGTTGCTAATACTGTATTGTATAATTGAAATTTGCTAAGAGAATAGAACTTAAATGTTCTCACCAAAAACAAAAAAGATAAATATGCGAGGTGGTGAATGTGTTAAATAACTATGGTGGGAATCCTTTCACAATATATACATATTATATGTAATACCACAATGTACATTTTAAATATCTTATAATTTTATTTTCAATTATACCTCAATAAACCTGGAAAAAAAGAAAAAAATTAGATGTTCAACCACAAAATATTCTTTATGTACATATGTGGTTAGGTCAGCTGCTAGATGAGTTACACATTTGTGATGTGACCACGGATTGTTTGTTTTAAATTACCTATAAAATTACTTAAAATTTATTATACATCATATTATGTTGGTATCATTACTTATAAACTTTTCAATAATGTCTCATTATATTAATATTGATACTATTTTATTGAGTAAAAGATTTATTTATAAAGAGGCTGCAAGGATGAGTATGAAAATATGACAAGAGCTTTAAGAACTTCAGGATGACCTTAGGCAGTTTAATAGGAATTATAATTACTCTTAAATATTAGCATTATTATGGAGCATGGGTAATAATATTATCAAAAAATATTTCCACCTGATTTACTGTGGAAGGCAAAATTTCTCCAGGAAAGAGAATGTGGGAGGGACTATAATTGAGTGTTCAGCAGAGAATACGGTGTTAGGGAGTTAGAGCGTGAGGTTCGTTTATACTTGTCTGTCGTATGGGGAATATGTAATATGTACTGCCACTCTTCGCCTAACCTATCTCAATTTGCTTATTTCAAGGGCTTTTCAAATTATGGTCAGAAATCCTCCCAAAGGATGGCCTGTGTATTTTGTTGTTGCTCCAGCATTAAAATTGTGGAGGAAAATTAAAGGCAGACAGGAAGCCATAGGGGTTGAGCAGCCAGTTAAATACTTAGTAAAGGAGAAGTTCTGGAGACCACTAAAGGTCATGTTGACAGTGCTTATTGGAAACACTGATTGCTTAAAGCGTATTGAAAGTTTATTTTTACCAGGACTGTTTCAGACCAGCTAACCCAGAACTCAGTATAAACATGGCAATTATGACAGCTCATGTTGTGTATTTTCCTAAGCTACTGTTTCCAGAAAACTTTCCCTTGCAGATGGAAACCTTTATACTGAAAAAGGGGCAATAAGAATCTTCAAGGTATTTTCTTGCACAGTTCTCTCTTGTTTCTGCCATATGTGACATAATCAAGCTGGCATTTTTAGCTTTTCTTGTTCATAAGAATTTCCTCACTCTCTTACAAAACAGAATGAAGGTATTTATTAATTTACTCCATCATGAATATTGTTTATGTACCTACTATGCAACAATCTGGTAGTTTCTTGAGTAGAGACAGAAAAAATACTTAGTCCTTGGACTTAGAGTTTATAATCTATAGGGAAGACAGACACTGTAAGTTTTATAAAGAACTATGCTAAAACTACCAGAATAATACAATAAATACATCGCATCCCTCATTGATTCCACAGTTTTTATAAACCATCTGCTGCATACCAGGCAACTTATAGGTGTGAACAAAATAAATAAATCTCCTGACTTTACAAAGCTTATATTCTAGTTATATATCTATTATATATCATCTAGGGAATGATAGATGATAAACAAACAAAAAATCTAATTTAATGTCAGATAGTGATAAGAACTAGGAAGCAAGTTAATGACCTGAATGAAATGAGAAATGGAATCATTGGAATTTCTGATAGATAAGCATTCCGATCAGAGGGAACAGTACAATAGTAGGTATTGATGTGTTCAAGGAAGAGCAAATGGGTCAGTCTGGCAGTGATGTATCTATCATTGGTGGTAGGAGTGGTAAGAGATGAGACAGTCAGGAGTCAGATGATTTCTGGCCTTGTAGGCCACAGTAAATACTTTGGATTTTATTCTAAAATGAAATATGAGGCCATTAGAAGATTGAGAGTGGTGGTGATAATCTGATTTATATGTTAATGGGTAACACTGCTGTGTAGAAAATAAATACACTGTAGGTCAGTACGAGTGGAAGAAGAGAGTCTAATCTGGAGGTTATTGCAGCAGTTTAGGTAAGAGATAATGGTCACTTGGACTGCAGTGGTGGGGGCAGAAGTGGTAAGAAATACTTTTGAAAGTAGGGATGGCAAGTTTTACTGCTGAATGCGGTATGGAGTTATAAAAGAAAGAGTGGAGTCAAGTATAATTCCAAGATTTTGGAGCTAAATAAACTGGATGAATAATGGTGCCGTTCACTGAGATGGGGAACAGTGAGAGCATAACAGATTTGGGGAGGGGCAGTAGAATCAAGACTTCCATTTTTTGACATATTAAGCTTGAGATATTTAGTAGTCATCTGCAAAGAGATATTGAATTGACAGGGCAAAGTCATAGCTGCAGATAAAAATTTAGA